GAACGTGAATTTCTTCAACTGACGGTCCTGCTGCACCGACATTAGGGATGTCACGTTTGAATATTATTCAAGAATACCGTGAAAATTCTTTCCTCCTTATCTATGGATGTTAAACTTGGATATGGACAAGTAATGTTTGCAATAAAAACGGAGTAACCTAGAATGTTATCAGAATAATCGAGCAGATTTTAGAATTTATTTTTAGAATTCAGGAATTGATTTCTCAGTATGATGACATCTGTTGGCCTCCCAGGCTTCTTATCTCGCATGTGCCAACATTTTTCTGGAAATGTTATTTCCAGCAAGGAATTTTTAAGAATACTTCCTCCTAATATTCTATTTAGAGTGTCGCATTAGATATGCTGTAACCAATATTCCTTTACGGTAATTTACAGTACGTAATAGACAAATTCCGAAGCAGCTTTCAAGAATATGCGGTAACATGTGTTAGTCATGTATCCAATCCAGCTCATGTGGGTATTACTGGCAACGAAGCGGCAGACGTGCTTGCGAAATCTGTAGCCAATGACTCCAGTAGACTGGAAAACGCAGTAAGACTTCCGCAGTCCTATTTAAAAAAATCACGCTCAATCTTCTTTTACAAGAATGGCAGAAAAGATGGGAAAGGGAAAGCACAGGGAGGAGAACCTACAAGTTCTTTCCAAAAGGGTTACATGCTCAATTAATACATACAGCGGGAGCAAAAACTCAATTCTACACTGCTCATGGTCCCTTCTCATATTATCTTAAGAGATTCGGCAAACGAGCACCAGAATTGTGTGAATGTGGTGCGCTAGCTGAGCAGATCACTACCTCTTCAACTGCCCCACAAACCGATAAACTGCATTTAAAAATGTCAAGCAGGGAATACTGACCCCAGTGGGCGGAGAATACCTGCAGCAACAAGCAGACGAAAAACTAAAATAGAGGAGGTGGTCAGGCTATGCTCAGCAAGTTACTAAGAAATTCCACCCCTCCCTTGAGAATTGTATCTTCGCAGCATAATTTTAATAACAATTCAAAATACTACAACTGAAAATCAACACTAGAAAAATAGCTCACCCCGTAGAATAGTAACAGGATTGTAAGAGCAAAACTATTGTAATGTAAGCATATTACTATCTAGTTTGTATGTACTTGATAAAAAAAATATTGTAAAGCAGTTTATAATGATATTGAAAATCCAGTCAGTGTGTAAATGAATTACAAGTTTACTTTAATTATCTCATTAAAAGTATTGTAAATATGAATTCAGGTAATGTTTAGTACACATAATTGTCATGATTTTATATAACTATCACATGTAACTTGTACAAGACAATGTTTGTAATTAACATATCTATGCTTATACACAGGCCTTGTATGCCCATGTAATATTCATATTTATATTTTTGTACGGAAGAAATATTCCCTTCCGCCAGGGATGACTATTAACACTGTAAGACTTTTACAACAAAGTCAAGTCAGTGGTTATCTCAGGCGCCGCTCAGTCATATATCCAAACAATTGACCGATAAACGCCAAACATGTAACCAATTAGTCGACTTTACAAACATTTGTTCGCCTTATTTTGTTATATGTTTATATAATTATTCACTGTTGATTAGTATAATATAAAACTTCAAAACCCTTCAATTAATTCGGGGCACTTTATGACTGAGGTCGTTTCCTTTAACATAAACGCATCTATAACGTAAATGTTTTTCTGCATTTTTTTTTTCTTCAATTTAAAACATTTTGCATTTGAAGTACCATTAATTTATTTTTTACCTTAAGGAGTTTTATTGTACAAATCCGTATTCAATCTACTTGCCTAAATATTCTCAAAATTAAGTAGGCACTATTTTATCAATTCATCACAAAATGAAGATATTTTAAACATAATTTCATCACGTATTCATCATGATACAGATTTGTTTTGTAAAAATGACTTTTCGCTTCAGTGAACCTTAAGGGGGCTCATACGCCTTAAACCCCTAATGATCTTCGAATATATGACTGTTGCAATAATTGGGATATTTTATTTATTTTAAAATCAATTACTTCCAACATTTTACAGCTGACTACATAACATAGCTGCTTTGGGAACTAGTAACCAGAAAGTTTGCGTTGCCACAAATATTTTTGTAATTTAATCCGCTTTGTGACAAAATTTTTCGTCATGTTTCCACCTTGCGCGCATGATATTTTAAAAATGGCTAATGGTACATACTTGAAATTCGATGGAATTCTTTATGTGGGCACTATTTTCTAAATGAACCAAAAATTTGATGAATATTTTAATATTAAAAATTTTATGCATGAAAACATTACAGATTTTTTTAAATAAAAATACATTTTATAAACTCAACTCCAAATAAAATAAAACATTAACATGAAATTCTTAGAATTTTTGGTTCACTGTAGTTTCCAAATGTTATAAAAGTAATATATTAAATATGAGATTTAAATTATGCAAAAGAATGTTTTAAACTGTGCGCGCAAGGTGGAAACATGACGAACAATTTTGTCACTAAGCGGATTAAATTATAAAAATATTTGTGGCAACGCAAACTTTCTGGTTACTAGTTCAGAAAGCAGCTATATTATGTAGTCTGCTGTAAAAAAGTTGGAAGTAATTGCTTTTAAAATAAGTAAGTTATCCCAATTCGTGCAACAGTCACATATTCGAAGATCTTAGGGGTTTTAAGGTGTATGAGTCCCCTTAAGTAAGAAGACACAGTGTTGAGGGAAATGAAGTGGTTCAATATTTAATACTTGATGGCAACAAATTTTTAATCGACGTAATCCATCAACGAAGGAAGTCATTGATGGATTACAGTAATTATAATTAAATTAAAAGTCGTCTCTTGAAAAGGTCATTTCTCAGTTTAATAATCTTATACGCAAATTCTCAGATTACAGATATTCGCGAACTAGTGTGATATACTAATATATTCAGAGTGTGCCGTAAATGATCGGCAATACGATGTTTTGATACGGTATATTTACTAGCATTTGCTGATACGATAAACTGGGATTAGAAATACATATTGGATTCCTTTCAAAATACATATTTATCTGTAAAGAAGGGAACGAGGAGAAAAATTAAGTTATTTTTCAAAATTGGAAATATCTGTTTTTTTTTTTTTTTTTCCTTTATTTCTTCTTGTGATGTAATTGCATCGTTTTTGTGAAACATTTTTTTGTCAGTTAGCTAAGCCATGTTTTTGCAGCTGATACCTTCCACTTACCCGTAATCATATTTTAAATTAATGTACAATGATATATTGCGTTTTACTCCGAAGTATGATTTCCTTTTTTTATGAAACCTGTTTTACTAGCAAACTGCTTCAAAATGTTTTCAACTTTCTAGTGACCAAAATTTCGAAATATTCGCTCGAAAAACATGTATTTATTCGAATGATTGATCTGAATATTTACTTTCTAACCCAAATCTAAAATATACCCTGTTAGATATGCCTGAATTCAGTTAAGAGAAGTTCAGCTAAGCAAAATTTCACTGCTGCAGATAACTTACATTTACTAAATCTAATGCTCTAATTTTCTCTGTAACTATATATTTTGCATTTTATCCTGTCAAAAAACCTTAATTATGGTTTCTACGCCTTGTTTTACTGACAAACTACTTTAACGATAATTTAATCCAATCTTTTCCTTGTTATAATGAAGCATTCAGCAGTTCCAAGTTAAATATTTTCACATTTATTTACACTAAATATCATTCATAATGATTAATTTAAATTCATGTCACTATAACTGAACAAAATATAGAATCCGTTGAATTTTAAATCTTACCTAATTTTTATGAGTGAAATTCGTGATATTTTAAATCTCAAGTTATTTTACATTTTGTATTATTAGTACTTGTATGAAATAAAATCATGAATAAGACTGTAGCAAAATGAAGGAAGATATACAGTGATATTTCTATTTACGAATAACTACTCAATTTTTATCTTAGCACAAATGCTATCTTTTTTGGGCGTCACAAATTTCAAGTGTCATTCTATACATTCATTATGAAAACTTCATCCATACACAATTTTAAATCTAGTTTTGTGAATAAGTAATATCTTTTTGAATGCGATGTTATGCTTCTCTTTCTTAGAATAAATTTTAAGTGAATCTTCACGCAATTTTCCTGGTTCTAAGACCACTTAGTCCTTTTCAAATATTCGAACGTTCAGTAAGAAAAACCTGTTAATATTCATTTAAGTGCTAGAAATACTTTCAAATGACTGGAAAGTATATAGCCTTGATAAAAATTTGAGAGAGATTCTTGAAGTAGTCTTGCATTTTTAAAATCTTGGTTTTTATCCATAGATAACAAATCTCATTTTTTGTAATGTCATTACATTAGTAGGTAATTATATTGTTCTCATTATGTATTTTTCAATAATTAGTTATTATACTAGCTGTGAAATAACTACTAATTCATAATATCTGTGTGTAAAGGACTATTGCAGCTCGTACAAATACTTGTAAAATAAAATACTAACTAATATTGAGCAAAATATAATAAAATTAAAAAGAATGTTTTAACAATTTTTTTAATTAACGGTTTGAAATAATTTTAAAATTATTAAAAATCTTGCTATAATATTGTATGACAAACTAAAAGACTTTAAAACATCCTGATTTTTCAAAAGTAATATGGCGCCCAAGTGGGCAAAACCTATGTTTGTGAATAACAAAAATTTATTCTGAGGAATTGGGTATATTAATAAATTCCTTTATTCTCACTATCTGAGGATATGATACCCTTTTAATAGCGGCTGATTTTAATGTGATAAAACTTTGGTATCTCTTCCTTGGTATATATTTTTGAAACACAATGAAATAAAAGTGAAAACGTTGAAAAATAAAGTTCAAACGTGTCTCTTATTCCTAAACTTATAATAATGTGCTTTATTTATTTAATTGTGTGCTTTATTTATATAGTGCTTTATTTATTTAATGTGCTTTATTTATTTATAATGTGCTTTATTTATTTGTAGGTATCTACGAGAGAATTTACCTTTCATTCATTCATCTCATATAGCAATATGGGGCTGGTTTTACGGTGGATATGTAGCTGCATCTGCTTTAGCTGATGACAATACAGTATTCAAATGCGCGGTATCGATAGCACCTGTCACTACATGGCTATATTACGGTAGGTAAACTTCTGTATTACTTTTATATAGTACTTGTAGTAAGCATTAACAGTGAACTACTTATTAGTAGGATAAAATCACATAGAGAAAGTTGTGTGAATAATTTTTAACATGGAATCTGTATAATAATTTTTTCGAAAGCTGTAATATTTTAACTTTAAGGGAGAAATTTTTCTTCGGTCTTAAACTCTTGAATAATTTATTTTCTAAAGTTCATTTTTTAATAAACGTATTTTATAAACGTTTATAAAGTGTTAAAAATGTAACTACGGTGTTTGTGCGCTTAAACATTAACTTAACCATGCATTTCTTCGTAAAGAATTTCTTAAAATACATTGCACAATTTGATGAATTTAAATTTAAAATTTTGATAGCGAAGTTCTGAAAATATAAGATCTATGACCCCCCTTACAAGTAATAAAATATTTAATGTTCTTTACTAAAAATAATATATATCTCTATAAAAAAATACCCATTGTCTTTCTTACAAATTTCTCTGAGATATTTTAGAATGACTTAAATGTTATTTCAATATGTATCAACGGAAAAATAAAACATTCTTATTTCGATTAGGAAAACAAAAACTTCTAACTTTTTGGCAGTTAATGATTTTATGTCATATTAAACGTCAAATGATATTCAATAGTGTTTGTTGTAACACCTTGAACGTGAAGCATACCGTCACATATGATATGTATGTGACTTAGATGAATAAATATCGTTATGTAAACTCTGATTATACACATTTCTTTGAACATATTGAACGTAAAACTATGAAACACATTGTGTTTAACATATTAAAAATGAAGAATATTTTAACAAATCGCTCTTACAAGCGTTATACAAAACGTTTAGTTGTATTCACTAAGTTACAACAATGAGAGTGTTTTCGTAAAATTTTATACACGTCTAGTAGCATCAATATGCTTAATGAGTATGACGGAAATCACATGAAAAAAGTATATATTTAGCTCCACTATTTAAAGAAGCAAAACATCGACATTTTTCGAGTACCTATAAAGGATGATCATATGTTAAAACCTTTTTCGACAAATTCAAAATAGAAAACGTAGTCGTAAACACATACTAGCGATGTAAGTTTCTCTTTCATTTGTAATAATGTAAATAAAATTTTAATGGCTGCCTTATTCTAATATTAATACAAAGATTCTTAGAATACATTGGAAAACATTTCTCAAGTCTACCTTAAAATATTTGCCATTCCGAAAATGTGGTGAATCCATAAATTGAACATACGTTGAATATGGCCTAAAATCAGAAACTTAGAGAGATATGTAATTGGAAATTTTGGGGGAAATTAATGGATAACTTATCTGTTTGACGTTGTTTCTGAGCTGTTTTTTGATTCGTAATTATTTATCAAATTAGCAAAAAATAAATTACTATTCACAAATAAATGGACATATGCTTCCGTTCTCTGATTAACAGTGAGCAAAATTTCGTTCGATTCAAGAAATAGCAATGGTTGGAAATTTGCTTGGAATCTAACAAGTGTTTTCTCACATATTTGTAGTGTTTCATTTATCCTCATTTTATAACTATCAGGAAATTTCGATTCATTTCGATATTTGAATATAAAGCACCAAATTCTGATAAGTTTGATACTTTCAAACTCATAATATTCAGTTATGATTTTAGTCAATCATATTTTATTCGTTGGCTTTGTATTATTATGAATAAAATACTTATTTAAGAATTATGAAGTAAAATAATGGTTATTAATATGAAATACTAGATTAATTAAAGGGAACCAGATTTAGTTAAAATTTTTATGTGGGAATTAAGTAATTAAATTTAAATTAATTAATTAAATTTGATTGCTGTTGAAAAGATTATTGAGAAAAATATCACCTATTTATTTACCTTGTTTATTTATCACTAACGATTTAAAAACAAAAGCATGTAGCCTGCACCAAGCCCTTTCTAATTATTTTACATCAAACATTCTCACCTCATCATTTTAATTACTGATTACTATTTATCCACTTATAAAATGCAAATGTCTATTGTTTGTATAAAAAAGATTTTTTCTATCGAAATACATAGGGGATTAAGGGGTGTCTATAAAGGAGAGGAATGGGATCCATCGGATAAAGAAAATGTGCTCCATCTCGATACAAGCTGAAAACCAGTTACTAAAAATTGTTAATTTTACTTCTGGTCTCGAGCCTTCATAATTCTTATTGCACTTCCGAATTTGCGCCATATTACTCCCACCATTGGCCAATAGGTTAAGACCACGGAATGCAGGGATTTCGACTTTTGATCATGATAGATTGTACGCCTGGCTTTTGTGATTTTTCCCATGTGCAACATTAATTAGAACCTGTCCATCAGAATACCCTCCACAAAAGTCTCCCCCATTAGGTAGAAAGCACTACCTGCTATATTCGAATAATCTAACCTAGCCTCACTTTATATTAATCTATATGAAACGGTCTCACCATTTCATTTAAATCAAAAGCTTTGGTATTTGATTTTATGTAACAGGAAATTGCAAATATAATTAAAAGTCAAAATTTCAGTTTTTTGAATAGCACAAAGGAGATAGCGCAGAACAACATGCACAGTAGAATAACCATAAAAAAGAAGTACCTACAAGTAGTAATTACTGGTCTTTGAATGAGGAGCTGGCACTGTTTAATGTGTCAGTGTAAGATTCGTCTAAAATTATATACTCAATTCAATCAAAGAATGTCGAGCTATATAATCATCGACTGTTAAAAACTGATCTCCTAAATAATCATCGACTGCTGAACATGGAAAAAGGTATCATAGAAGGGGGGTGTCATGATTATTTGACTTCATGTTTTCCAGCTTTTGGATTGTGTCTTAAACGAAAAGCAATCCCCAAAGTTTAGGTATTATCGATTATGTCTAATTTTATGCATGTTGCTTATCAAAGCCATAAATATAGCACAGTTTGGATTACAATAGAAATAAAAGCCTTTTATAAAAAAGTATACAATTCATATTTATTTCATTTGGTAGGCATGCAGTGTACTATATTTGGTATGTAATGCACTATATTAAAACTTTAATTTGAAACTTACCTAAGTTACAATAATTAACAAAATTTGCTTTTACGATTTTTAGATATTAATTACAATAATCAGTAAACTATATTTTCTTTTTCCCATAGATTCTACATATTCGGAACGCTACATGGGTACACCTCATCCAGGAATAAACTACATAGGCTATGAAAAAGCTAGTCTCTTGAAAAAAGCTTCACAATTTAAAGGCAAAAAGTTACTCTTAGTTCATGGCACAGCAGATGGTAAGTAATTTGCGTCTTCACTAAGTGTTTGTACGAAATGATTTTTATTTAGCAGAGTAAATATGTAAGTACTTTTTTGGGTCATACAATAAACACTATAGTAAAATTCAGCATCTTCGATCGCTAATTATGTAACAGCATTGTAACACGAAAGCTTATGTAATACCAAATTTATATTGCGATGATAATTTTTACTTACAAGAACGAAACATAAAATGTTGCATTATATACCGCACAGAAATTTCCATGTTATAATTCCACGTAATGAAATGTAATTTAATGAACGTACCTGATTATTTACCTTCTAATGTTTACCGCGGTCTCTGGACATGAGCACATAAATTTATGTCTAAGTCTGTATTGTAAATTTTCTACACCATTTCAGTGATTGTCTGTGGCGAAAGTTGTCAGTACATGCATGTGTGTGCAGGTAAATCATTTGTTAAAAGTTCATAATTCCTCAATTATTAATAAATTTTCAATTTTAATTAATATATTTTCTTTATTTACGAGAATAAAAGTAATTTAAAACTTTATTTGAACATACAAAAACATTGTCAAGTGTGTTTCGATTAAAATTCGTTCGCGAGCATATGTGCATATACACGGTTTTGAAGTGATGCGGAGGAATTAAGTTTTGACAAAAATGCAACTAGGATTGTCGTAGAGTTTGAAGAAAACTTGCCATTTCGAGAGACTGGATATTCTCACCGATTCTAATATCTTAAGTCTTCCTGTTTCGTCACTATTTTCCTTGACAGATGATATCATGTATTTGTTGTATTCATTGAATTTCTTCTAAATATGATGCTGAAAATTTCGAATATTTTAAAAGGAAGGATTTCATCAGGTCGTTCTCTTAATCGATGCTGAAAACCTACTTCTGTCTACAGCTGTTTGTGTTCTCAGTATATTGCATGCAAATTTTTAAACTGCATACAGAATTGGAGAGACAGTTTTCGATGTAACGGATTTAATTTCATTCTGTGCTGCCCTTTCCTGTAGTTAGGTGAGCTGACTTGCAAATCATGGGGCTCATTTTTGAATCTCGAAGAAAACATTTTTGAATACCCCATTTGACGGGTGTAGTACAGATCTCCCCCCCCCCTGAGGTGCACCACGGAACTCAGGATTCCCGGTGCATAGTAGCACCAATTACGATGACTTGGTGGAGTGATTAGAGGGATATTATATTAAACAATGAGTTTGCCCATTCTACACCAATGTTTAACCAACAAATATCTTACACATTAGAGCAAAACCTATGAAGATATATGAGGGCATTTTTGTGTACTGTAAGAATGATAAACAATCGTTCTTACAGTAAAGTCTTTCTAAAATTTCTTTTTATTTTAAATACAATTACGTAAAAAGTAAATTCTTTTAATATCTTCAGCGACATGAATTGCCTCCTGAGTTCCCGAATTAAGTATTTAATGACTATATTTTAAAAGTTTTAGCCAAACATAAGAAATTTTTATATTCAAGTAATTAAGAATTAATTACAAAAGTAATTATTTAATATGTTATGTCTTTCGCTTAAAATAAAATTTCCCCGGAATGATGAAAGGTTTTATCGTCATTTCCTTTTTTTTAAATTTCTTTTCAGATAAAGTTCATCTACAGCATTCGATAATGTTTATGAAAGCTCTCATCGAAGAAGGTGTTCTTTTCCAATCACAGGTAAGTAAAATTCTCGTATTTATTTTATCTCTACTTCGAAACAAAATATTTGCATCCAGCGAAATTCTAATTTAAGTATACAGAACGCGAAATAAGATCTAAAAGACGCCGCTTATATAAATAAACCTTAGATACACATATTTATCTTTCCGAAGTGACTTTACATACGAAATCCGAGAAAGCCCTCCGGCAGTTCCTCTTTCCTGATTGCGCGATAGCCCAGTAAATCTAAAAATATCCCCTATGTGTATGTTAAAAATTATTTTGTTCAACTTAACGTTAGTTGTATCATTTCCGAAGCAGTCTGTTTAAAATATGCAAGAATAAATTACCTAAAATTAGGATATGGAAACTCGTGACAGATTTGTGAATGTATACTCGAGATGTTTATTCTGTTTAGCAGCATATTCATTTGCAGGAAAACAGCTATTTCTGACTTAAAAAAAGTGTATTATTTTTCTCTATATTTGCTTTGAGTTTCGTATTTTCTGATACTTTTAATTAAGATATATTGTTAATAAAATGAATCTTTATATATTATAAACAAAAACGAGCATTCAAAATGGAAAACATGATTTATACGCCTTTCAAGGAACTGTTGGAAGAAAAAGGGTAAATATGAAATACTAAAATTAACTCGAAATTTTAGTTTAAAACTACGATACATGTATGTTAAAAGTAAGGGTTTAATGCTAATTTCATTATACAAATTTAAATTTATCATTCTGACTGTAATTCGTTTAAAATAAAATCTACAAATCTCAATTAAACCCTGATAAGCGGAAATGGAACTTTTCTTTTAGTAGTATACAGTTGCATGAGAAGACGAAAGAAACAAACAACTGAGACAATATATGAGAAGGGATAGTAAAAGGCACGGATCGACTAAACAGTCGGGCCGTGCCTTTAGCTCAGTCGGGCCATGCCTTTTACTATCCCGCATGACCGCCGTAACAGATTTTTCTAGAACAAGGTCTTCCGTATTTGACGATGCTCCAACAAATAAGTGTCGGAATGTGTGGTTCCAATATGAAGGGCGAATACCCATTTTGAACTGGCTGTTCATGGACAGGTCAATCTAGCATCAATGGATTAGGAGTGGTGGACCATTTCCTCACATGATTTATCGAGCCTTGATTTCTTTCTGTGGGCAAAGCTAGCGTGTATCACGATCCTGTGGATTCTGAAATGGATCTCGCGGTAAGACTCTTCTTTGCTGCTGCTGCAATCAGGCAACCTTGGCGTCTGATGGTGCAAGCACTGCAGCTGTATTCATCTTGTACGCCATTTGTATTTATGATGTCCAATAAATATTTTTACTTTATCACTGTCTGGTGTTCTTTCTGATGCTCTACCCCATGCTACCACTTACTCCTGTTGTTTCCGGTTAGGAGTTTTGCTATGCAATTCTCAATCCTTATAATATGCCTTACCTTCCATAAAAATCTGTTGCCGCATTTTTGAGACACCTTCTATGTACCATAAAACCTTTGAGTTACAGTTTTGAAACTGCTTTCAAATGTGTGCATGGACTGTGTGATAATATGTGCATCATCTTTTATTAAATCGCTGTCGTCCAGTGAATTTAGGTCAAATAAAAATTAATCCAATATTCAGTTGTTGGAGGTGTACTGAAATTTACAGAACGAGGGAATTAAGAACAGGAAACTTTTCAAAATTCCCATTTTAATTCTACATATCTGAATTTAATTTATTAAAAAATGGAAGATAATTTTATAATAGTTCTTTTATAATAGTATAATTTTATAATAGTTATAGAGTATGTTCTCACTAAATCCTTAAACTAGTGTGTCTTATTCATTCGGCTTGCTAAATAACTGTTGAGTAGGCTTGTCGAAGTACTGCTCTTCATTTCAGAGACTATAACTAATACGCAACTTTGGTTTGTAAGAAAGAAACTGCATAATTTCCATGCACAGCTCAAACACATCGCTTAAGATGCAGGCCTTGAATAGCTACCGTACCTTGGTGTGATAATGAGGTACAGCATGATTCCCACAAAATACGAAACGTTGATTAAGCGCTCGTCCCCTTATATTCTGTACTATATTTACTTCAGTAATTAGATGTTTTCCTTGTATTTCATGTTTCAACTCAGAGTTTTTAATATAACTGAAATTTTCAGTTACTTTTCCTATTAATTCCAAATGCTCACAAAATAAAATTCTTCCAACATTTTCTTTTATTTAATGTGTCAACAAACACCAAGAAAAGCTTTATTTATAAACAACAATTGACTTGCTCAGTTAAATGCTCACTTTTCGATAACTGGCTTTCATATTAATTACTTCCTGCAGTAACATATCAGTATTGTAACAGCTTTAAATAATATTAAAATCTTGTAGTTTAAATAATTTAAATAGATGAACATTAAGGTATTCTGAATGGCAATATTTGAAACCAGACTCGAGTGCCTCGTGCGACTCTCGCACGAAGAATGTAATTTATTTTTAAATGATAGAATATGTTTTCTCTTCTTGTTTGTATGTCGCCATTTTTTGAGTGTTAAATAAAAGTTATTGCTGTGTTCCATCATTGGAGTTGCTTCATATTGACAAAGAAGTATCACAGTATCATGAATGAATGAGATCATGAATGCTCGTTTGAATCACATCTTTCGCTATCGGAATGTAATGAATGTTTACTTTAGAACTCAACAAAGTTTTGCCAGTTTGAAGTTGATTTACCAATTCCTCAGTTAAAACATGACTCTTCCTTTTCTTAGCACAAAGACATGCCACTTGGTAAAGAAGTTTCTAAAAAAATGTCATTTAAACTGACTTCATATCAAATTTTGTGATATTATCACTAGTATTAAAACGTTCCTTCTGAGGCATCAAGATGTTAAAACTATGTGTTGTAGATTCATCCCCGTTACGATTACTGAAGTGGTCTAGCAACTTTGACAGTTTAAGATTAAAATTTGAAAGTATATTACACCATATGATGCATTTTAGTTGCGCGCGTTACCTTTCTCTGATGTTCAAGGGAATTCCAGGAGCAACAAAATTACCTTTCCATAGATATATTTTCAACATAACTACAATTACTAAAATCAATAAAATAATGTAAGGATCTTAAGTTTTACTAACGTTTATTTTTATTTTAAATCTTTACTATCACTTCTTATTTTCTACTTCCGGCCAGAATTAAAAGCTTTTAACTTATTTATGCAAAATTTGTCTGGCGAACGCCAAGTACTTAAGTTGTGGCTTTTTGCCAAGCGAGAGAGAGGAAGGAGTTTGTAGGGTTTATATTTATTTTAACTAACATTTATTTTAAGTTTAAACTATCTTTCCTGTCAAGCCTTACTTTCCCCTGGAACTGCCAATGCCAGAATATGTAAATTTTAGTAGAACGCGCAAGGATTCAAATTATCAGCGCAAGTATTCTGATTTAAATAGAAGGAAACAAGTTCGGTGTGATATTCTTACTTCACGAGCGCGGAGGGTAGTTAGCGAGAAATTCAAGAACCCGCGTTTCGGCCTATGTGCTTGGCGGGAAGTAGTGTAATCGTTCAAGTGAGCTTCAAGTCTGCTGAATTAGCAGCGGTGTTGTAAAACGCGGTGAGTTTAGTTTTAGAGAGCCTCGTAGTTAGAGTCTTGTCTTTAGTTTCTTTTTCAGGTTAGTATTTTATTTGACCGAGTTGGCGCCGTCTGTAAGCGCAAGAGCACGCAATTGTAATTTATACGTTGAATAAAAAGGGACTTAACCCTTACAAGACTCTGTGTTTATCCTGTTTCACAGTCACCTCTTGGTTGCGTGCAAGTTGAGGCACGCAACATTACAAGTTAGTCGAAGCGGCCGTGGTAGCAGTTTTTACTGGTTTGGTTGCCATCCAGGCCAGAGGTTTAAACCTCTTAATAATTTAACGTTTGTAGTGTTAACAGTTCTCTGTACTACATACGGCTTCCTGTAATATACGGCCAATCTTCAACGTAGGCCCTTGTTGATTAGCAAAGTTAAGTTAGAGTTTAGTTAAATTTTTATATTCTACGTTCAAACCACAAGTTGGTCTAGTATCCGAAGTAGGAAATTATGTAAAGAGTGAAAAATAAAGGGTTCGTATACCGTCCTGTGTATTTGTCTTCTTCCCACATTTATTGAACATAGCTTTAGTAAGCTCCCTGTTCCGAGTCAGGTTCCTCAATGTTCCCAAAGAAAGTAAGGCGGAACATTGAACCTGATAATGTTTTCAAAATTTAGAGAAGCTGTTTTTTGTAATAAACAGAGGGTAAGAGCTTTGAACCTATTCTTCAGAAAACGAATTTCAAACATGATTTCATTCCTATATTACGATATACCAGCAAGGAATAAAGAAATATTTTGCTTGAACTAGAATGAAATGCAAAACAAAAAGTAACAAAACATTCAACTCCAACACAAATGAGGAAATTATCGCAAACTAAAATATACACAAACAGCTGTCCAGATTTTGTTGAATGTATTATTCATCCAATTAGACTGCAACAATAAACACATCATTAGACTGCAACAATAAACATTAGAAATATTCTAGAGAAATTTGGACTCGCCACACTGGCATCGTTGTTGACAGAAGCAAGAGGAAAACGCTGAGGTGTACGGTCTTCCCTAAGAAGTGCTGAGAAACAGAATGCATATGATTTACTACTTCTCTCGGTTTCATACGATTTATATTTAGAGAAATCCACTTTCTGACCTTGTCGCTACTTTTTTGAATATTTTAACTGTCTTTTCGAAAACAATTCCCTGTTTTTTTCTAATCTTACTTCAGGACACTATTTGGGGGCCTCCACCATAAATTGTTTTGTGTCCAAAATGTATTATATTATTGTCGCCGAACTTCGAGACATTGTAGATTTGCGTTTAGGCAGTAGTTTCGACTCAGACTTTAGGACCGTCTCTGGCATTCTCGGAATATGCTCATTTTTCGAATCAGGGGTGCTCAGATTTTTTAAGAATCACTGTTATGAAGGGTGTAAATTGACATTCTATATAAGATGTTTCAAAGGGACGTTTCCTTGTTATAAGCAGCTAACGCGTTTGTTGCCAGAATTAGCAAACTTAATCGCCAAATCTGCAGGGTGTAAACTTCAAATGACGCAAAGGCTATTGCTGTGTGCTGACAGATTTGACAAGTAAATAGTCAAACATTTGCTTAAACAAATATTTTTCGAATGGTTGGTTCTAAATTTATTGCTACAAGTTAATAATCGCTTAAACGCTTTAAATATTCTCAAAGTAACTCAGGTGTTGAGGCTACGACTAATTTGATCTCAAAAGGTATGTAGCAAAAGTATCAGATTTGTGTACAGAATTATTACGAATAAAATTATAATTAGTAAACTTATCCTATCAAATATCACTAAAGTAAATGAAGGAAAAAAAACAGAAGTCCATATCGTACATTATCGGGCAACAAAACTCGTCTCGGAGAGAGGGAATCAATATTGTGCCATTTAAAGCAACTTCCTCCGACGAAAAAATGGCAATTTCAGAGGTCATATACAAACCGGATTTCTCTAAAATCAAAAATCAGAATTTTAGCAATTCTACAAAGGGAAATTTATTTTCTAGCTCCCCCTCCAAAAAAAAGATACCTTTCAGTAATTTACATTTCAAATTTCTGTAATTTACCTTTAAAAATATTATAAGGTATTTCTCCCGCCTTCTTTGCATGGCTTCGTGGTGTAATTGCCAGAACATTCGGTGCATATTGAAGAGGTCCGAGGTTCGAGTCCCGGCGAAGGCATTGCTAATTTTTTATGTCTCCTGCTACGAAATAACCTAATGTCTCTACAGTGGCGCCCGAACTAAAAAAGGTGGTAGATGATGATTCTCCACCACCAGGTGGCCCCTAATCCCCATTCGCCCTCTATAAAGGGAAGTATATAAGGTACCTCTCCAGCTTTATTTCATGCCTTTATGGTGTAATGGTCAACACGCTCGGCGCGTATTCGAGAGGTTGGAATCCCGGCGAGGGCACTGTCCATTTTTCATGTCTCCTTCTTCGAAATAACCTAATATCTTCACAATATATTTATATGGTATCCGAAAATTTAATTAATGACATTCCAGCTTATTGTTGAGAAATGAAGACGAACTTTTTAACTGGATAATTAAACCGTAAAAATACGTATCTAAATGATTTTTTTCCAATTTTGAATTTTTGTGGAATTTTATAAATTTCGTATAATTTTATTAAAAGGTATCGGTTTCATTAAAAGGTTTTATTAAAAGGTATTTTGGCTAATCTTTGAAATATGGTAACAGGCAGTTTGGCGACATTTTGGTAAGGCGATAAAGGTTACTAGCTAGGATTTTAGCAGTGTACATGGATAAAAACAAGAGTGTTCGCAAATGCCATTTTTGTGCAATTCTGGGATGTTTTTTTAAGTGAAAATATGTCGACGTGTACATGGATACCGTGTATGTGCAATTCTTAAATACGCGGCGAGCAGTGGGTGATTCTGCACTTTCTTCCAATTTCGCACCTAATCTTCGTCATGATTAAGCACTTTTGTTCCATAGAAGTTCTAGCATAAGCGTAATTCGGCTAGCAGATTGTTGGAAAAAAATGTTGAGTTAAAAAAAAAGAAAAAAAAAAAAAAAAAAAAACTTTTATTTCGTGAAAACAAAATGGCGTCGAAAAAAAACTAGCAGGTTGCTGTAGCAGGGTTGGTCGCCAAATGTTCGCCAAAAAATCGCCAAGTTACCATAATCCGAAGATTAACCGGTAGTTTATTAAAAGTCAAATATTTCATATTCTCAAATCCCTCCTTCTTTGACCATTGGATTCCAGATTTGTTGAATATGTATTCCAGCAAAATGCAATGTGACAACCTGAGTCATTTACACCTTTGACCCAGTATAATTGTTTCTCGAGATTCAATTATTTCCTATATGCTGCATATGTTAAAAAATTACAAAGACCACCTGCAAATAATTGTATTCATATATACAGCTAGCTATGCGTATATGCGCAAGAACTCTTTCAGCCAGCACTTCTCGAATTTTGATTTTGTGGCATTCAATTCTTAACTGTATTCAGTTTCTTCAAACAAATAATAGAAGGTATATAAGCATGGATGAAGATACCGGAAGCTAAAATCATAGAAATCTCACTACATCAGTGTTTAAAAGCTGCTTAGAAACTACCTTTACTATTAATTAGGCAAAGATGTTTGTTCCCGCAGAATTTTGGAAACGCCTGCACACCTTTTGCTTTGCATCACAATGAATTGTTTTCTTTCTAAGAATAAAAAATAATAAATAAAGGTGTATGTGTGACTGTCAAAATAAAGCTTCGTGGAACTTTCAAAATAATGATTCACATGTATTCTGTTTATTCTTTTCAGCTGTATCCGGATGAGGACCACTCATTGTCCAACGTTCGGCGCCACCTCTACCGGACAATGGAAGGTTTTTTGAATGAATGCTTCTACATCCAACGAAAGGATGAGTACGAGAACACGAGAGTGCATAAAGACGTGAAAGGAAGATAGTACTGAACGCACTACTGAAATATAGTGATAACCTTATTTTCAGAATCTGTTTACATTCAATGGAATCATATATTGCATCGATATGTGGAACTGCCAGTCTGAATTGTTCTGTGGCGGAAAATATTTTCTCACACATATCTTGATCTTTTTTCATTATTATGAAACGTTTCTTGTCTGTCTCATTGCGAACGATGCCTATATATCTCCGAGTGATATTATATAGGCCTTATGTTTAAATGCGTTTGATGGCTATCTTAATTTTTAAGCGATTATTTTTATTTAAGAACAAATGTTGTTGTTAGGAAATTGAGGTACGCTTTTGTAGTAAAGGAGCAATTTCGGTACTATTTATTTTTAACACAGCAATGTTAATATAAAATATAAAAATATCAGCTGCATTGAAATTTGAAGAAAACCTAGGGAAAGTATGAAGTGAAAATAACGCTGATACAAGAATAGTAGTTTAATGCAATTTATTATTTTTATTATCAATTTTTTTTTTTAATTTTACAAATACAAAATCACAGATTCTATTTTGCACAACAGTTCCATTGCAAGTAATGCAATGGCCACACGTGCCGTATTGATGTATGTTTTAAAATATTCAGCATAAAACTGCTCAATTTAATTCTTAAAAAATATTTAATCTCTTTCTTGTTTTCTGTAGTGAATTACTGATTTGACCATTGCCAGTTAAGATGCGTTAACTGACATAATTAAGAGGAGGAAAAGTCAATCATTTTGGTTCAATTACAGCTTTCGTTTTGAGATTTTTCCCTCTGTTGACTTTTAAATTTCAAACCTTAGCTCATCCATGTGTTTTAATAAAACAAGTGTTTGGACATTTCTCTTTAATGCAATCAGCTCTTCTTTTGTCATAACTATAAGATATTTTCCCTTTATATTTAATTTAAATTGTTTCTTCCTTACTCTATGATACATAATTACATTAATAAACAATTAATGGATTCTTAATTATGCTAATCAACTACCGCTGATCATCCTTGATCGACCCATTGATCATCATTCATGGACCCCTAGGAATCTTTAACCATCCAGTTGATATCCTTAGTTTAAAACATATTTTTCTTTGGCATTCCTAATCGCATAAACCAATTTGTGTATGCGGACGCAAGTTTTAAGGAAAACTTAAATGAAGCAGAGGAAATGAAATACCATGAAAACGTGGTATGGCTTGGTACCAAGAAAATGAAGCCATGGAAATGAATAGAAGCTAATATTTGTTTCTCATTTCTATAGAAATGGAAAACCACCTATAATGGAATTTAAAATTATGCGCCTTAAAATACTTGATAAACATTCGCTTTATCGAAAAGTTGGCATGTGGAAATTAATCATTAGGTAACCAAAACAAAGCAAATAAGTAATGGAAGGTCATTAATATTCTAGGTCTTGTGTTGGGATAGATATGCCTTAAGAAACCATAATCAAGTCATGAACTGAACAGTTAAGGAGACAATGATTCAGCTTGCCTTTGTGCTAGTTTCTGGGCATCTTACCAATGGCTATATGAGTTTCCCCAGCTCTATACCAGATTTAATTGAGACCATCTTGAGACAATGGGAGACGGACACGAGGGTCACATTCCGTTTTCCTTTACGACCAACGTCTGAGAAATAAAATTCAACTCCACTGGCATCCCCGTGCCAGAAAGCCCGAGGAAATAATGTGTGCTTTCAAACAAACTCGCTTTGCAAGGGACATAAACTCGCCTCACAGACTATCGCAATTGACTTCCTGAACATAATACTATGAAAGTGGCCTTGTCAGCATTATTTAACATATTCTCTAACTAAATAAATTTTTCTTAGCTAATAACCATTGTTGGCATCTTGACTATATTTAATTCTACTTTATTTAAAATGATATATTAGTTTCTTTAGTTACTGAGTCAGGTTTCCTTGAGAACTCTCACACTGAATGATATCTACTCAGAATTTGGAAAAATTCAAGTTGGTTTAACAAAAACAACTATGAATTTTTTTTCTAAGGAGACTGGCAAAGTGCCAGTCAACTTCTTGAAGAGCAAATAACCTTCTCTAAATGCGTATTTTTTTCTGTAAATGCAATGTCAATCTAAGACTGGTTTTTTTCCTGACTTTGGATCTCATACTGGCATGTTTCCATATATTAGCAACTTTAGTTAATGACTTTGACTACAAAAGAGCTTTTCGTAAACTTCTTAAAAATTTTATCTTACGATCAAATTTCTCTTTTCAGTTTTGTTTCACAGATGAATCTGCACCTGAAATGTTTATTTTTTATTTACATTATTTTGTTCGTATAAGAGAAGTATTTTTCAAAAATGCTGTGCAGTTCTTTCTCAGATGATCTCATGTTAGACCTCCTGAAATTTTTAGAATTTTTCTTCAAAGCCAACGCTCTCAGAGAGTGAATTTCTCCAAGTTTAAACTATGATTTTCTCAGGTGTGTACGTGTCCTGGAGCAAGATATTCAAGTTAGTATTCAAAAGTTCTAAAGTGTGCGTGTCAACTAGTGACTCTGGTTTCTACTTCTTTGTCCATAGTGCAGCATCTTTAAAAAAGAGAGTTACGAGTTGAACCCTTAAAAAGTAATCCTGAACATAATATCTATTAAAAGCTGTACTTAAAATCACTAACATCCTTAAAATAAGGTACGTATTTTATAAAAACAGCTTCAAGTCTGTGATTGTGCAGTTTCTTACAAATAAAATTAATTTTTATAGCCCACGTAAATACGATTTTCCGTTAGTATGAATTAATTATATTATTATTTGCTTTAACATAAAATTATATATTTTCGCATGGAAAATTCAAAGAACGAAGATAGGTTACAAATAAAATAGTACATGTTGTTTTACCCACTATGATAACAATCACCGATAGAAGCAGCTTTCACTTCTTAGGTGCTCTATAAAATTGTTCTGAGGAGTAAAATCAAAATTAACATAAGTTATTTATGAATTAAATATCATTCTTTCAAAAAATGCCATTTAATTCATAAATATTTTATTCTAGCTTTTTATAACTAGGCAGATGCAGGCACATTCGTATGCTTCATAGATATCAGAGAATTTTCAATGCTTATTAGTGCAACTGCTAATAGTTTTTCTGGTATCTGAAAAAAATCTATATATTTGTTGGAAAAACTCTTAACTGGCATTCTTTTATAACATCTGTTAATAATTAGTTAAAAGGTAATGATTTATAACTAGTTCAGATTTAATAAACAGAACATATTTCTGTATTTCATTATTTATAATCTGAGATTATATTTCTGTTTGTAAAAATGTTACCAACTGAAAAAAATTAAACTCTAAATTATGTGGTAACGTAAAATTAATTCCATTTTAAATGATAGAGTTTAAAAGCAGTTATTATTCTTTTTCTCAATCGAAAAACATAACATAGAAAATATCATATTATAGAGATTTAATATATTAGTTTTTGTAAATTTTTAGCAGCATATATGACTGTTCGACTTCGACATCTATCTAATTTTTATGCATCGTATCAAAATGAATTATGACATAACTAAAATTTATTTTTTAATTTTCTGACAAATTTCTGCTTTACTACAAAAGTATTCATTTTTCAAACGATATTTATTCAATGCATTTGAATTTTCAGACTATTATTTCAGGATCAGAAAGATAAATTATTCTGTGCTTATAAAAACAGAAGAATATTGAATCAATGTAAATCTGATCTGGTGCTAAGTGTTTGTTCGTAGTACTTCGTTTTCAAATCTATAAAATGCGAAAAGATATATTCTCGGTATTTGCAAATAAGAAAAGAAATGTCTTTCATTCTTTTAAAAGAATTCAAATTAAGAACTATATTTAAAATATTTAACAAACTTCTCATTATCATAAGATAACACGTTTTTCATATTCTATTCTTAGTTGTTGCTGTGACTAATCCCACTTAATAAAAGAAATTCATTAAGTGAAATCTGATATCAAAGCAAGTCCATGAAATTTATTGTGACAAGGAGAAGTATTGCTCTTGACGCCCGCAAGAGCCTTAGTCACCATACAGGAGACAGAATAATTTTGCTAAGTTCCACCCCGAATTTTGAAGGAGAGCACACCGGCGGGGGGACTGGTCCGACAGTCTCCTAGTCCTCTTTCCCTGCTACCGACCTCCCGAGAGGGCTTTGTGCTCGACGCATTTTTAAAGTGCCCCCATGCCGCACAGCACTATACATTTAATAACATCCATGTTTTTTTCGGGATTCGAACCCTTAGTAAGGCAGTCAGCGTCACTAATTACTTTCTCGGTTGGGCAAATTATTCTTAGTTGCTAGTAAAATTCAAACACATCGTATATTTACCATTTGTTTAAAATGATAAACATTTGTTTAATTTGCCTTGTTGACATTTTATAAAATCACTTTAAAATAGTGAATAAGGATAGACATATTAATAAGGGAAACTATACATGATGCCAGTTATTAAGTTCTGCATTCAATTCTACCTTAAAGAGCGATGACATAATCTAGAAAAACAGGTTCGGAAAAAAAAAAAAAAAACCTTAAACCTTTTATAGAAGTTATTCCACTTAAAGGAATTATAACTGATGTTCTCAGTAAACGAGTCCAAATATATCATATAGTTACCCTTTGTTTTAAATTTATAAACATGTCTTTAATCTGCCTTATTAAGTTTTTATATAATAATTTTCAAACAGTGAATAATTTGGAGATATTAATAAGGGAAACTATACATACTGCCAATTATTAAATTCTGCATTCAATTTTACCTTAAAAGAGCGATGACCTAATCTCGATTTGGATTATTCAGTTTATGGCAAAGCACACGAGGGCTATCTGCCTAAAGGGAGGGATGCCTTTCGTGGAGGACTTTCTAAGGGAAACTGGCTCGTATACACGTTACACATGGGGAAAATCACTAAAACGTCCGTGCAGCCAGCCCGTTCGCGGGATTCGACCTCAGACCGAACTACCAGTGTTCAGCGTCTTTACCGCTCGGCCGTTTGACCTAATCTGGAAAATACAGTTTCGGAAAAAAAAAAAATAAATAAAATAAACCTTTTATAGAAGCTATTCCATTTAAAGAAATTGTAACTGCTGTTCTCAGAAAACGCGTCCAAATTAAGAGAGTTTTATCTTCGTTGCTGAAATTTTTATCTGATAACGCATTTCATCGCATACTCTACATTAATTGCCTTTACAGTAACAGGAATGCAGTTTAAGCCGAATTGAGCAGTAGTCTTGTGATGCTCAAATTCCGACAAATAAACTAAGTATTAAAAATAAATTTGTAATATATGCATTTGTATATGCCAATTTAAACAATTTTAAGTTTATGATGAAAGTGTATTTTTAAATAAACTTCATATCATGGAACCAAACAGCACATTTATTTCTTCGACATACTTTGCGCAGAGTGTAATCCAAATATCTTAAACTTAATACATTGGATTTGAAGCTTTCAAGTAGGGTGTCGTATAACAATTACTAAGGCTAAGGATTACGGAAATATTAAAATTTATTTTTTTCAATAATTTCAGAACTATATTTTTATTATTACTAGTCTTACACAAACAGTTAAAAGACTCGAAGACGTTTATTGACTTCAATAATTTTCTATTCCAGGCAGGCTATTTATAGTATTAAAAGTTTTTTAATTTTTTTTTTAATATTTGGATAATTTTTCTTTAGTTAGTAACAACTTTCTTATTCCTGAATATAAATATGATGCTTATTCTAAGTTAACAATTGGGAATCACGCGAAGAATGTATAAGTATATATTTCGTATATCATAAGCTCATACGAAAATACAATAATTTCATTCAAAATCGCAATAAACTTTCGAGGTTCAGACTTGGTGCGACTTGGTGTATGAAGGTGCAGTTGCCCCTCGCTCCCTATTTTTTGACTTCGATGATAGTTTTGCGTTTTAGTCTATGTGTTGTATGTTTGATCAGACAGCCTGGCTGAGTAAAAGTCAAAATC